AGATTGTCTTTCTACGCTCATCACTCAGATTCATGTTTCCAATTTTATGCTGGATTAGCTATTCTACTAAGACAACATACAACATGCTAACTCAAACATTTGCACTACGATTGTGTGGCTTCCATCGGATGGACAAAAAAGGAAAAGAAAGAAAAAATTAAACAATAAAAGACATAGTCGTTAGTAGTTTTAACACCTCACCTTCTGTTTGCACACTCCCTTCTAATAAAGCGCTTTCTTTGTACCAGCCTTGAATTCAGTTCCTTCATGTAAGCGTACTCCATTTTGTTAGACATCACAACTCATTGTTCTTTATTACTACATTCTCTTATATGGAGCCCGTGACTTCATTTCACTCTAACAAGAGATAATATGAATTTAATCTAATGTATTATACCTCTGTCTGTTCTACTACAGAATGTTAATCAACATTTAGCGTTCATATTCAAGTGCCTTCCTGCCCTTTTGTTTCTCTTTTTTCTTTCTTCAGAGTCTTGCTCTGAGGGCACAGCTATGGAACTTCTGACGTCTGGAACAAACTTGACGTACGCGTCACCTCAAGGTCATGGTTTACAGCAAGCGCTCTAGGAGTCTACTTCATAACAACTATAAACTTAATAAGTTGAGAAGCATGCTGTGCACCAACAAATGTTGTAATTTATAGATCATGCCTGAAAAAATGGCGTGTACCTGCTCATGCAGAAATATATTATTATTATTGCATCACCAGGTCCATCATCAAGTTCTCATCAAGTTAGGAAAAAATGATTGGCTTATGGTTACCTTAGGGCTTGAAAACTAAAGATTTGGAACCGCTTTTGTATAAGTAGAAGAGAACGAACTTCGATAAGTGGGAACGCATCTATATGATGCTGCTCACTGAATACAACGGGGAATTAAATCGACCAGGCAAAATCATACCTTATGAATTTTGTAATACATTGATACTATATCGTATTTATTAAAAAAATACAGTCTTAAAACTGCCAACATAAAAACAAGTATGGTGTATATTCAGCCTCGCAGGTGTTTTCCTATTTACCACCAAGCTTCCTACGTATGGTATGGGATAATTAAACACGTAAAACATAAATTGCAAATACCAGTTACTTGCAAGCACGAAAGAAAAACTATTCACCAGCCGTAATTGAAATACCCACTTTTGTCTCAAAACTTATGCGAAATCATGACACACAAAATGCTTGAAAGTTACATGAATAACTGCGACAAAGAACTGCTGCTGAATAAGTTCTCTCGATATTCGTATATCACCACACAGCATTTTTCATTGAATTTCGGATTTCATTAAAAGCCATATGTGGTAAACACATAACATTTTGAGATCGAACAAGAATAAAGTTTCTGTTAAGACTACTATTATTCAATTTTCATGGATGTTTAGGTTTCGAAATTCGTTAATTTCCCCTTAAGTCAATTCAGATCGATCTAAAACCACCTGTTCATTAGTTTCAGAACATAAAGATGCTGCTGGGTGACTTTCAACTGTATATAACTTGCTTTTCAACCAAATATTGAGTTTTTATTTCAGAAAACCTGATCTATTGACATGAACACGGATCATACCGAAGCGTGTTTTAGTTCATCACATTTACGCATACTTTATAAACCGCATTGTTTAGGTAAGAAGCCTTGTGGTTTGTTTAGTTTCTAAGTAATGTAATTGTTAATTACTTAACTGCAGCTTTTTGTCTATGGAATCAAATCTCTCAGTAAATCTTTATAATTCGCGCTCCATAGCTATGCCTGACAATTAGTGACTCAGTTAAATGCAGTTAGTATTAATTCGATGTGCGATCTGGTTGAAATTTTAGTTATCACAGAAATACATTGAGGATATAAACTATTAAATGTTTTTTGGGTGATCAAAGCAATAACATAGACTATGGGGAAGTTGGCCCATACTCTTTTAATATAAGCTTTCGTTTATGTGTGTAATAGACTTAATTACCGCAATCTTAAGCTTAACAGAAACATAAAACGTTTTATGTATCAACACTTTGTTTTTATTTTTGATATAATTTACAGGCTTCCACTATTTGTAATGTTTTTTTATGGAAAAGGTTTGATATGTGAAGCACATGGAAGAGTTCTAACGCTCATGTCTAAAATGCGTTTATGAGCTCTGTGTTTCAATCCCTTTCTGATGAATGGTTTACAAACAGCTGTTTTATTAAAGATTGATTCTTTTTAATAATTCTTCGCAAAATGTTACTGTTCTAGAACAGCTTTCAAACACAGTCCTTAAAAATGTGATAAGTATGATGAATTACATTTACATTTTACCTACTAGCCAACAGTCTTAAATATTAACGAATAGAGATAAGCTATTATTATTTTTACTTGCTAGCCAAGAACATAGTATTGTTTAGCATAAATAACTAAAGAATTTACTTCACTTGCTATCTTAAATCCTAAAGAACCTTTAAGGTTACTCAGTTGTAGTTTGAGAGGAGCTGTAACGTAAGATACATTGTTCGATATGCATTGCGAAAAAGCATCTATCCAGCTTAGATTTTTAACAGCTAATGCAAGAGGCTGGTTTGCTTAGATATCAGGCGGTAAGCGAATGTAATATATTGTTGATTTATGTCATGTACTCAACAGTTTACTCGAACAGACATTAATTTGATAGTGAAAAAGCACCCCGGTTATTCGGATCAAGATTTTAATGACACGATAAAAAATCCATTGTCATAGAGGAGAATTGTATGTAGTAAAAACTTACTTATTACGTATCATCCCGTGGTAGGTGGCTTAAATACAAAAATAGTTTTCCACAGACTACTCACACACCAGACTAATACTTCTGTTCCATTTCTCTACTGACGACATTAAGGTTTCAAAAACTGGTCAACTGTTTATAATTTGACAAAAATCTGTTTACGCCTGAGACATAAGTTTGAAGCAAAAGTCATGTAAATCGATATATGCAGGTTTAACTGAATTTCCATCGGGATATTTGGACGGTTCGTGCATGTTCAGAGTTTGTCTGGTCATGTAAATATAAAGCCCCCTTTTGAAAAACTCATTTCATCTTAAAGGAAATTGATAGGAGTGGTTACTAAACAAAGTTCATTGAAGGATCAGGTTTTACCAGTTTTGTCTTTACATCCAAAATGACATATGTAATAAGTGGGTTTTTCAGCTTACGGAACATATTGAACTGCAACACGTGATAACAGTAGTAAATTCTATTTTGAAGAGGAATTTAAGCTTACTACGGACATTTCAACAAAAGAAAATAGAGAAAGCAGTTAAATCGCGATACAAAAAGTAACCATTGAGTCGTCTCATTATAGCGTATGCTGTTTCGGTTAGGGCAATATTGAATAAATTTGATTCCTTGCATTTAGTAAATATTTTAAATAATATCATATGAAATTACTTTACATACAATTCTTAGTCGTTACCCCTTAAGACTGAAATCGAAAGATAATTTATTAAGAATTAGCTTTAGTTGGTGTCTTTCTTCAAAGTAATCTCATAATTAAATGGGTTTTATAACATTCACCACTATCCACTATGTTATATGCGTAGTGCTGGTTTTCAGTAGACTGAGTTAATTACCGCTTGATATTGATATAATCGATTCCTAGGCGCAATTACTCAAATTACTCAAGGGCTAATATTCATTAAGAAATTTTAGTGCCATCTGATGTCTATACTTTAAGGTATTTATTTTGGTCAGCGTTTTATCAGCCAGGTGGTTTTCTACAGGATGAGGTTTCTGAATCCATTGCCAACCCTCCTTCCTTGCACGGGCTTGTAACCGGGAGTAACCCTGTAAGAGCTGCAGACAAAGATGGAAAAGCTCTAGAAGAGGTCGAAACTTTCACATATCTAGGGAACATCATCAGTAAACAAGGAGAATCTGATGCAGACATAATGGCAAGGATTGGTATAGCACGAGCAGCATTCCTACCTCTGCCGAATATATGGAACTCAAAACAACTGTCAGACAACATCATAGTAAGAATTCCTTAGCATAAATGTCAAGACGGTTCTACTGTACTGAGCTGAAACTTGGAGAACTACCACGACAGTCATCGAAAAGCATTTATAAACAATTGTTTACACAAGATATCTGATGTTCATTGACCGTATACCATCAGCAACAGCCCATTGTTGTAGAGAAAAAACCAGCTTCCATCTAAAGAGGAAATTAGGAAAAGACTTTGGAGGTCGATAGGACATGCATTGAGGAAATCATCAAACTGCATCACGAGGCAAGCGCTTCCTTGGAATCCTGTGGGGAAACGAAAAAGTAAAAGATCATGGAACATATTGCGTCGGTAATTGGAAGTACACATGAAAAGGATGAATAGCAGCTGGAAATAACTAGAAAGGATTGCTCAGGACAAAGTTGGGTGGGGAATGTTGGTGAGCAGTCTGTTCTCTATCACGAGGGTAACGGGCGTATGTACGTGAGCAATGTCTATCCTCGAAGTACTCAAAAATATGCCTCGATAACAAATTAAATATAACACAATGACGGAACACAGTTTTATGTTCATCTTTGAGTTACAAATTTTTTGTGAAGTCTTAAAGTACTCCAATTCCGAATATTTTCAACGAAAATGAACCTACAGACCAATGATTCTTAGCAGAAACATTCAGTTTGATATCAATGAATCTAAGTGGTGAAAAATCTTTCCAACTGTTGAATCAAAATGATGTTTTACTGATCATTAGTTTAACAATAATAATCTATAAGTTATATTCGTCACAGACTGATCTCAGTTGAGAACAAATTAGCACAAATAGCTTTTCACGTTAGTATTCCTTTTTCCAGTGGTCCTTTGAAAGGCCTGATTGTCTTGTATTCGAGCCCTATCGACACCATGAGTGAATATTGTTGAAGGGTAACATACTATGACAAACTAGCTATTTATTACCCTCTAATTTGTAGTGTTACATCAACCGAGATTAACCTATGACAAATTTGTTTACCTGTTTTTCCTGCTACTTTATTCTTTTTTAGCACTTTCATCATCCTGTCCATCCATTCAACTATTCTTGAATGGAGATGTGTAGTGAGTATGTCATTATTTCGAAGATTTTTCTCATGTACCTCTTCTGACAATTATCCATTCTCATATACAACTAATCTTGTACAAGAGAATACTAAAAAGTTTCCTAATAATAATAATATTTGTATTATATGTCATGAATCCGTTATAACCTGTTTAAATAATCAATCTATTAAAAAGCAGAAATATTTGTCATCAATTACAAAAAATAAGCAATTATCGCCGTTAACAACAGAAGAAAATCAAAATATTCAAACAAAACAACCAGGAACTATGTCAGTTTGTATTTCATGTACAGATATACTTGATAATAATAAGAATTCAGTAAGTTTCTAATTTTTAAAATGTTAACTAATTATCCCTTTGGTGTTGTTTTACTTGTATCTTCCGATTGTTATTTAAGACTGCGATTGATCTGTCTCATGTTGGCATATGTATATCCTGTGCGGATTGCCTCGATATAGCGTTAAGTCACAAGCTTTTTAAGCAAAGATGGATAGTGACTAGCACTGGAATTCAGTTTTACGCGTGTTTCGTTGTATTTGGGACTCGTCAGCTGGATGTACCTACATTTCAGAGTTGATGTTCACTCTGAGACTCGGACCTAGTAACGTTCGCTTCAAACATCATCACGTTATCCACTTAGTTACTGAGTTCTGATAGCCACCTGCTTGTGCAACATGGTGAAGTTTAAATTTACTTGATGTTGTTTTACTTGTATCTTGCCATCAATGCCTTTAGGACTGAAATTGATCAGTCTTTTATTGGTATATATGCATCCATCTTTGCTAATCAGTTAGTCAGCTACAACGTAGGACTAGGCACATATGTGCATCGGTCCAAGTTGCCACACCTCATTAACACAACAAGATGGACACCGGATTCATAAAAGTAGTTAATTCAGTAGTGGTAGTTTATAAAAGAAAGATATCATATAAGGACATAGTACATGAAGAGTGAATGAGTTGTTAGAAAGAGAGATATGAAGGGATTTTAGTCTCATCGTTGAAGGAAAGAAAGAGAGTGCATACACCTACACCATTGTGATCGACTGTGAGCCATGTCACCAAGAGTCTCCAACCATTGGTTACGATAGTCACGCGGACCACAAATGTGTAGTCTATATCTACCAACGTGGCATATACTATAAGTTAGTTACTTCAGTGACTGATGCCACGTTTTGGTATGGCCACCCCTAACTTTCTTCCAACCATCCCCAACACTAGTCAGCATTGTGTTCAGGCATATGCAACATGTGGTCCAACCATGTCAGTCTATGAAGATTCACAACTTCACTAACCGATTTACCGAAATTCCTTAATGAAGTGCATCCAACCTCACTATTACTTACCCAGTGAGCCACGTTTCGCAGCCATAACGCAAAAAAAACGAATTGCCGTGCAGTATACTCGTCAGATATCTCTCTTTCGCCATAGGCGATGCAAGCTGACAAAAGCCAAACGAGCTTTTCAAATCCGTGCTGAGGTTTCTATTTCTATTGTTAATGGAACTTTACATTTTACTATTGTTTAACTAATATTCAAGCTTTGTTTCTACAATATATGTTATTTTCTCCATTTAATTTATATCATAATAGTAAATTTATTACAAAAGTATGTAAATTATTTAAGTTGTTAGGGGATATGAATGTAAGAGTTCATTAAACTATGCCATATATATAGAATAGTAAAACGATTACTATTAAAATGTCAATATCTATCATTTAAATAATGAAATGATAGTAAGTGTACACAATGGTTTATAAAAGTTATCTTTGTTATCAATAATGAATAGAATTCATTTCAGTCAGTCAGTAACAACATGGAACTTTGTACTTATGTACATCAGTCCAAGTTGCCATATCATATTAGCATACAGATACAATTGTCCATTGAAATCCCATAGTGGTAGAGGTATTAAGAGTATAAGCAGTAATCAGAAACATTAGGGTTTGAAGGTGTCAGTCAAGGAGTATAATCCAGTGAAATAAGTTTGGAAAGAGAAGAAAATAAAGGGACATGAAGAATTCAGAAGATTATAATTTGGGAGAAAACAAAGTGTAGATGCACCTGTGTCATCGCACATGATTTTGAGCCATGTGTCATTCAAAGTCTCTAACCGTTGGTTACTATCGTCTCTCGCGGACTCCAACCATTTAATATTGAATATTCTAAATATTCTTTCAAATAAGTTGTTAAGTTGTATTCTTTTTAATTCCTGTTGAAATTCATTAATAGTTAACTTAATTTCTAAAAAGAATGAATCAGTCTAGAAATGAAACTGTATTATAAACACTCATTCAAGTAGTATGGAAATACATTTTACAGTATTGGAATTCGGTAAAAACTATCGATGTGATAAATGTCATATGTGATATGTATAATTAACCTTTACAAATAATAGATTAGGTTTAATTTAAATTGTTATTATCTAAAGCTTAGATTCTTAATATACTGCATATAACTTGACCAGTTGAACGTAAGAACATTCCCAAATGACAAATGAAAAGACAGAAAGCAAATGAAAGAAATGTTGTACTCAACAATATCAATTACAGTATAAAACTGTCAAGTATTTATAGTTTTTAGTAAAAAACACATACAGAGGGTTATTAGCCTTTGTTAAATAGGGAAACTCCATGTAAGAATTCTAGAATATTCTTCCAAAAAATGATTGGATGGAATATCTTCAGCTTTTTTTTGAGCTTCTTTAGGCTTACTTAAGTTCATTTCGTGAACTATCCTCACATATTTCCATTTTTTTAATCAAATTATAATGTTATGTTATAAATTGTTAGATTGTGATGATATGATTGAAAGTAAATATCCTCATCGTTATGTAATCTGAAATTCTTAACTTTTACTATGTGAACTTCTTATGAATCCTTTATTCCAAAATGAAATAATTATTATGTGATTTGATGGATATTAGTTCTTTAATGACAAATTATTGTCAACAAATTGAAATAATCTCCATAGAAACCATCTTATTATTGTCATTTTATTCTATATTTAAACAGTATAAAGAGATATAACTATTTATGTGATTACAAAAGAAACGAAGGAATCAGTTTTTCATTACATAACCGAATATCTAATATCTTATATCTTTTCTGTATCCTAATTATCATTAGTTACATGTACCAAAAATATAAGCTCATATATGTACATACATACATACATACTGCACATACACATACACATGCACACACAATTTTCCTGCCATATCTTTCATAAGGTTCCCGAAACACAATATATATCTATAAGACATAAGTCGATAGTTTCACTTTCTATCTTTCTTATTTATCCTTATTCACTGATATATTTTCCTTTTTTGTTGTTGTTGTTGCCTCATTCTTTTTTTTCTTTTTTAATTTTATTGTATTAAACATTGAATAGATTATTTTATTGACCTTTTTATTCACCTCTTACGTAGTGTACTAGAAGTAGTAATAAGTAATGTTAGAAGTCTATTGAAATGACTAGATTGATATTTACCTTAGTAAACCCTTAAAAGAAGTTGGTATAGATATATACACCGTTTATCAATTACCATATTTCAGTTTTCTTCCGTTTATGTTAGTATTTCTACATATTTACTAGTTTTGTTGTCTATCTAATACAATAGATGTATATATCTATCTATCTATCTACATATATATATATATATATATATATATATATATATATATATATATATATATATATATATATATATATATATATACAATGTTTAGATAGAATGTATTCAATGAATCATTAAGTATTGTAAATAAGATGACTAGGTTTAATCTACAGACAAATAATAAAGTATATCAGTAGTAGTAGTAGTAGTAGATGATGATGAAGAAAAGTAATATCTGTAAGATGATCAATGAATAATCTAGTGATATGTTTTTTATACAGTTGTTTCTTTGAATGTAATAAATATTTCGGAAATGTTTCATTGTCTAAATGAAGAAAACTTTGAATCATGTAGATTTGATTCCATTTTTTTCTCTTTGTAGAATAAGATCATTGAAGTAGTAAGAATATGTAACTTATGTAAGAACTTTTCTCATCAGTCAGTCAGTAACAATGTGAAACTTTGTACGTATGCACATCAGTCCAAGTTGTCAATTCAAATCCCATAGTGGTAGAGCTAGTAAGAGTATAAGCAGTAATCAGAAACATTAGGGTTTGAAGATGTTATTCAAGGAGTATAGTCGAGTGAAATAAATTTGCAAAGAGTAAAAATAAAGGGACATGAAGAATTCAGAAGATTAGAATTTGGTAGAGCACAAAAAATGGATGCACCTGTGTCATCGTACATGATTTTGTGCCATGTTTCATTCGAAGTCTCTAACCGCTGGTTACTATCGTTTCGCTGATCCCAACCAGATAGTCTACATCTACCAACATGGCTCAGTTTACTTATCAGTGACTTCATGGATTTGTGCCATGTTTTTGTCTGGCCGTATTGTTATTTTGAAATGTAGATTTTCTATCTCTCTCTTTTGTACCTTCTTTCCTTCTTTCCGTCGTTGTTTCTTAATTTCTTTCATTATTTGTGTTCTTGTTCTCTTGACTAAAGTTACGCTACCTTAACCAGAGTGTACACGTGAATTATGGAGTTCTTACAAAACAATTCTGTAAATGAAATGAGTATTACAACCATTATTTGACTGAATAAGTTGAAATAAATTGGACATGAGGTATTCCGTCATCACTAATAATAATAATAATAATAATACTAATAATACTAATAATAATAATAATAATGGTAATAATAATAATAATAATAATAATAGTAATAACCATACGTATGTAATATTTCAGTGATTAGGAAATGGAACTTATTATTTTTCACAATTTTGTGTAAGTTATTACTTCAGATATATAGATTAATGTATAATCTGTAGTAAATCATGAAATTGAAATAATTCTACACCTGTAGCTCTCCTATGGTTACTGCCGGTCCCAAGTCTGGGTAAAGGGGGAGGGTTAGACATGGGTTCAGCAACCCTATCCCGTAGAAAAAAAATCTTGCTAAAAAACGACAACCATATTAAAAAATTAAACTCATTAACATATCAAAAATATATTATTCGTATTATTCTTCTAGTTCCTTCAATATCCCACTCAGTTGTCAGTCTATTTGACATTATGAAATTATATACTGTGATATTACAAATACGTAAAATGTTTTCATTACAATTTGATCTCATTTCGCATACTGTTCAGAACAAAGGAATACAAGATATCTACTCCTCCTAATAAATGTGCACCCACAAGACCACCAGGGATCGAACGCAAAATTATCAGTTATTGGGATGAATCACCAGTCTATTAGAAACAGTTAGTCAATATTCATTGGTTTAACTTCAACTAACTATCGATAAACAGTAACATAACCATTAATGAATGTAATCAATGAGAACATTTTTCATTCCTAATATATATGAACTATATCAGTAACGACTTGTGACAGATACAGCATATAAGTTAAATTGATCTTTACAAAAATGAAATAAAAAATTTGTTGAATACAGTCATTTTTAAAAATAAAACTTGACTACTTCTATGAATATAGTGTTTAACGTGTTGTGCTAATGAAGTATAATAACTTGAACTGATACATTATATGGGCTTGGTCCTACACTGTAGCTGACTGACTGAAAACGCTTATTACATTCAAGGTTAAATTGATAGGTCTAATATTTTTGATTCGTAAAATTAGCAAAATATTTTAGCGAGACTATAAACCATGGATGAACCATTCAGATTTATGATAACAGGTCTTAGATTTTGGTGAAAAATCCATTCCCGTATTTGGCTAAATAGAATCTTGGCATTATAGCTGATGTCGGTTCATGATAAGAACCCTAAATCGAATTCCTAACTCTAACCATCGACTGAAGTCATAATCCTTATTCTTCAAACTGCTTTATAACCCTCATTTAGCTCTAGTATGTAGGTAGACACTCTCAAGGTCACTTTGTCGTCGCTCAAAAGGTTGTCCATAAATTATAATCTCACTATGTATACCTTAAAAAATAACTTATTTACATTGGCTTAAAACTATTCAATCGGTTAAATTCACTTGACATTATCTACTTGAATCTTACCATTGATGGTTAAGACTGCAATTGATCAGTGGGTAACGTGATGTTGTTTGGAGTGAACGGTACTGTGTTCGAGTCTCAGAGTGAACATCAACTCTAAGATGCATGCACTTTCAGCTGACGAAACGCGCTAGTTAGTAGGTAGACACTCTCAAGGTCGCTCTAGCGTTGCTCAAAAGGTCATCCATAAATTATATTTCACACTAATATGTTTATTACTTAAACTTGATTCTATATTCAGTGAAGAGCAATTTTTTGAATTAATCATGGGTTTTTTTCTATTTTTCTTTTTCCCTAAATGAATAGCAACTAAGTGATAATAAGATGTTAGATGTAACAACTTCATCTTATCAATACAATTTAACACATCCATATACTACTAATATTAATACTACTAATCCAACAACAACATCACCAATATCAACAGTAAAAACATGTATTTCAATGAATGATACTACTGAAAAATCAATTAGTTTACAATGTTCTAAATTTATTACCCGTTGGATAACACATTGTCCATTTCAATGGAATATAAAATCATCAAATCAACAAAAAACCATAATAAATAATAATAATAATAATAATAATAATAATAATAATTTGCAAACAACAACAACAGCAACAACAAATATCATTTATAATAATCCAATTGATCCTATATATACACAATCCACATATCAACAAGATCTATTAAATCCAATCGACAAAACAATTCAAACTACTAATAATGATGAAAATATTCATGAATTTATTGAAGAATGTGTTATACCTATACCTGTATTTAATTTATTTCTATATTTAGCACAAGAAGGTGTTTATGCAAAAGATTTATTTCGACGACCTGGTAATATTGCTCAAATTAAAGTAAGTAGTATTGTTTAGAAGATCTAGTTATATATACATATATGATAGATAGTTTTTGTAATCTACGTTGAAGTAACTTACGCCTGTTACTCTTCGTGAAGGAGCATAGGTAGCTCACCAGCATTCTCCATCCAACCCTGTCCTGGGCGATCTTTTCCAGCTCTTTGCACTTTTTATTCATCCTTTTCATATCTGATTCTATTTCCCGACGTAATGTGTTCTTTGACCTTCCTCTTTACCGTTTTCCTTCAGGATTCCAAATTAGGGAACTCTGCCTGTAACTCTTCTAGAGTTACTGCCGGGTCCAAGCCCGGATAAAGGATGATTATGCATGGGGTTAGCGACCCCATCCCGTAGAAAACTAAGTTGCTAAAAAAGCGCTAACCAGCGAAAATAATTCAAACTCTGACCTGGGAGTTAGAAGCTCTTCATTTAGAAGACCTATGACGCTTCATGGTAAAAGCCGATTTCCTTCGGAAGTCACGAGGCCGATGCCCTTTCTGACAACCAGAGCAAGAATTTTTATATATATGAGATAACAGGTCTTGGATTTTGGTGCAAAATTCCTATATCTATTTGGATAAGTAAACCTTTGTTATTATAGCTGATGTCAGTTCGTGGTGAAAACTCCCTGTATCTAATTTCTAACATTAATCATCAATTGTAAACCATAATTGTAATTCCTCACACCGGTTTATAATCGTCATTTGGTTCTGGTCATTAAGTGGATACTCTCAAGGTTAGTCTAGCGTTGCTCAAATGGTTGCCCATAAATTAGAACCTCACCTGAAAATCTTATAAATCTTGCCAGATTTACTATAAGCTATGTATATTTAACTGATAAACTGAATTTTCAATAGTTGAAATTATGAGTCAGTTGAAGCTAGACCATCATGGAAAACCTGGAAACATTGGACATCCGTTTCGTCCAATGCTTCCAGGTTTTTTATAGTGGTCTAGCTTCAATTGACTCATGATCTGAATTATTGAAATTATTAAAATCTTCACAAAACCCCTTTTGAAACTAAATTTTATTTCTCTATAACTTTTTTGTATTGGGGAGAGAGGGTGGAGAACTCAATCAAAATTTATCCATTTATTGATTAATATTTTAACGTTAATTCATTTATTACTGGTTATTATCATGTTTATTTCCTTTGAATATGCCCTTCATTGACCGTTTTTAAGGACAATATTTAGTAAACATTATTGAGTTTTACCAGATAATGTTTGATGTTTGTTTGTTTCCAATCTATCAATAAGGTTGAAATGGATACATTCATTAAAAGTTTTATGTAGATAATCTATAATCTAATTTATTTATTTATTTAATTTTTGTAAACGAATTAATTAATTTGTAGGCGGCCTATACTCCTTTACGAGGTGTAATAGGCATAAATAATTAGGCGATTAGTTAATTTGTAATTGATATCTATTAGATGATTTAAAGTAATGTGAATTGTTATGAAGTTGAACATATTCAAGATGCTACTCCCTGTTTTTGATGAAGTTTTGTTCACTGAGCTAGATGGTTTAGTTATGAAGCTTTCATTATTCTTCTGAACGACATTATCAGTACAAACTTCAAATAGAAGTGAAATGTTCGAATTTCTTTACATTTTGTGGTTCACAACTTGTCTTCTATACACAATCCATTGCAAAAATGTTTACATATTTTGTATAAACTTAGTAATAATGAAAGACTGATTGATCATTTTAATAGAACAAATGATTTAATATAAACTTTAATTGATCCTGTATAGAATGTTTCATAAGGACTAATGATTAATCTAATTCTAAGAAGAAACAGTGGTGATACTATAATTTATGGATGAACCAATCAGATATAAGATAACAGGTCTTAGATTTTGGCGCGAAATACACTCATCCATTTGGATAAATTGAGTTTTTACATTATAGCTGATGCCTAATATTATTCCTAACATTAGCCATCAACTGTAAATCAGAATTTTAATTCCTCACACAGGTTTATAAGCCTCATTTGGTTCTAATTATTAGGTGAACACTCTTAGGGTCAATCTAGCGTGACTCAAAGGTCGTTCATAAATTCTAGTCTTACCGAAACAACTTATTGAAATCAATCTTGATATGTAAACTTCAATATTTTAGTGTTGACTTGCTAATTATTTCATGTCAATTGTATAAATTTTATCAGTAAATTATTTTAAATCCAATGTGAATTGGAGAAAATTCTTTTACTTGAGAGTAATTTTTACTGGTGAATCATAGTAAAAGAAATATTCAGTAAGGAATTCCTTACCATTTTACATACGCGACTCCATTGAGGATAAAATTCAGGACCTTCAAGACTAGTGGTAAGCTCTTAACTTTTAGATTTCTGAGTTAAAACCTGAAAATTTGTATCTCCATTTCTAATGCATTCACGAGAAACAGCGATCATCATCCAGTGTCAGTGGTTGGTAGTTGCCTAACTCTCTATATGACTGAACTCTTCTAGTTAGCGCTTCTCACTAGAGCCAAAGGAATTATCTCTTAAAAAACATCATTGTCATTAGTGTACGGTGTTTGATATGAAAAGGATGAATAGAAAGTAGAAAGAGCTGGAAAGGATTGCCCAGTACAGGGTTGGATGGAGAATGCTGGTAGGCGACCTATGCTCGTCCACGAGGAGTAACAGGCGTAAGGAAGTAATACGCGATTTGTAAAGGTTGTTGAAGTGACAGTTTTACAACACGGACTGACTGTAACAAGCAGTCACTGAAAACTAGGACAGATGCTTCGTCTTAACATTGGATTAATTTTGATTGAGAGAATGTCTTTTATATATTAAGTGATCAATAAGTAATGAAACTATTGGAATCGACAAATTTTATTCGCAGTAAGTGCGTAACGTTAGCAACCAGTGAAGATCAAGAAGGAATGGATATATGTTTCGCCCTAGTATAGAACTCATTTGCAGTAAGTATTTACGTCCCATTCACTGGAGATCGAATCTGTGACCTTTAAGTCAGCAGAGACCACTTCACATTTAGTCTGTTGAATCTGCAGTAAATGAATTATTTCTACTAATATTAATAATCATACTACTGATAATAATAATAGTAATAACATAAAGGGATTATAGATGAAATTGATTTATAGAAAAATCAAAAGAGATGATAATAGACATATTGTAGATAAAGTGATTAATGATGCTTTTAATTTCAACATGAAATTGATACTGTTATTTGTTTACGTTAAATAAAATACTAATGTGAATGTTTACACTGAATATAAGCAGTTATATATACATCTTTGTAGATAGCATACATTAATGACTGATTTCATTTAAAGGGCTAATGAGAATGACTATTGCTTTCATATATGGAACTACTTACATTCAAATTCATTTTTATTAGTGTTGTATGTCACAACCTAGACGTGACTAAATTTTCCTATTTATTGCTTCCAACTGTAACTTGATGTCAAAGGCATTAGTGTGGATTTGGGAGGTAAGAATAGAGTGTAAAGTGTGAAGCGTTCCACGGCTGTGTGTATAAACCCTGAGCAGATGCCATGCCATGCCAATACCAAAAAGCATTTGTGACAACACAATGTTTGCTAATACGTAAGGTTATGAAGACAGTTAAATTTATCGCTTTACATAATAGACAGACTTTATTTGGTATAATAAAACAGGAACTCAAAAAGTAATGGATATTTATTTTATTCTAGTATATATCTATTCAGTATTAAGTGTCAACGATCCCATCGGAGATCGAGCCAAAGACTTACGAAGGATTGCAGAACATCAAGCTTAAACCATTAAGTTTAAGTTTAATGTTCAGTATTTCTAGTTGCAATCAATACTCGAACAGCTCATAAAAGTGAGTTAATCATTCTCAATTATATCAGAATTGTTTAAATGTATGAAATATGATTCGTTTTAAATTCACTTGATGTTGTTTTACTTGTATCTTCTCATTGTTATTTAGGACTGCAATCGATTAGTCTCATGTTGGCATATGTGCATCGTGTGTGGATCGCCTCGATATTAACTTAAGTCACAATTATTATAAACAAAGATGGATAGTGGCTAACAATGGATTACAATTTAATGCGCGTTTCATCCTATTTGGGACTCGTTAGCTGGACGTACCAGGAGTGAACATCAACTTTGGGATGTAGGTACATCCAACTGACATGTCCGAAATAAAACGAAACTTGTGTCCTGGATTCCACTACTAAGCACTATCCATCAATGATTCTTATTAAGATAAATCGAATTGAAATTATTATCTAAGTATAACTATTGTACTGCCCTGTTTTCTTTTTTTTTCTTCGATAGCATATATTACAACGTTTTGCATCGGATCAAATGATTGATTGGAAAGATTATAATATTCATACTGTAGCAACAGTTGCTAAACGTGTTTTATTTAATATACCAAATGGTTTAATTGGTTTAAAAGGTGAAAAACAACTATTACGTACTGCTTTATTAACACAACAACCATTAAATGATAATAATCAATTAAAAACAATATGTAAAACATCTATAATACATCATTATGATACATCTAATTTAGAAATTGATAATAATACAGAGAATTTACTCTTAGAATTAGCTGAACCAACAAATACTTCACCATTAATATCTGTATTAGATGAAACAAATATAAATGATAATAACAAGAATGTATATTATACAAATAAAGAATATACAGAACAAATCAATGATTTAATAAGACGTGCTATAGTTATCACAAATATTGATACAACTCAACAATCTAATACGGTGAATTTATTATTTTCATATGGTTCAATAAAACAAATCTATCAATTAACTCCAGTGGATACAGAACGTGTACAAGTTTTTCAAAAGTGAGTTTTATACAATTTTAAGAAATATGATAATGTTTATTATGATGGTTTTGAATGATTTTTTCTGATTAGCGTTTTGTTTTAGCGCTTTAGTTTTCTACGAGATAGATTCGATAACCCTATGCATAACCCTCCTCTTTTATCCAGGATTGAAACTGGCAGTGGTCCCCCACAGGAGTTACAGGCGGAGTTTGTTTTAAGAACTATTTTTTTCAGGTTTCAACTCAAAACCAGATCGAATTGCAATACTACATATCATTGTGGAACAATTAGTCGAATGGAATTCATCACTTTACATCTACTTCATTGACTACGAGAAAGAATTTGATAGCGTGGCTCTTCTATCGCACACGGAACAACAAATACAGGAGAAGACGATCAGTGTAGTAGCAGCCTTAGCAACAGTAGGTCTTAACATATACAAAGAGAAAAGCAAGATTCTTCGATACAAAACAATATGCACTAATCGAATCACACTTGACAGAGAAGCTTTTGAGGATCTAAAAACCTTTGTATATCTGGAAAACATCACTGACGAGCACGGTGGATCTGATGCAGATGTGAAGGCGCGGATTGGCAAAACAAGAGCAGCATGTTTACAACTGAAGCACATCTGGAACTCAGAACAACTGTCAACCAATAAACAGTTTTACTGTATGGGGTGGAAACTTGCAGAACAACGAAAGTCATCATTCAGAAGATACAAATGTTTATTATGAGTTACCTACGCAAAATACTTCGGATCCGTTGGCCAGACACTATCAACAACAATCTGCTGTGAGGGAGAACAAACCATATTCCGGCGAAAGAAGAAATCAGGAAGAAGCACTGGAAGTGGATAGGATACACATGGAGGAAAGCACCCAACTGCGTCACAAGGCAGGCCCTCACTTGGAATCCTCAGGGTCAAAGGAAAAGAAGAAGACCAAAGAACACATTGGGCCGAAAAATGCAGAAAGACATGAGAAGAATAAACAAGAATTGGATGGAACTAGAAAGGAAGGCCCAGGCCAGGGTGGGTTGAAGAATGCTGTTCGGAGGCCTATGCTCCATTTGGGGGGGTAACAGGCGTAATTAAGTCATGACGGTATCTGTTAAGTTCATAGGAAGGTGAATTAGTTGATAAGATTGAGAATCTGTATTGACTAATTTGGTTGGGATATGTATTATGCAGGCTCAACAATCGCCAAACTCAATGTACGATGTTGGTTGACTTGTTATCAGGTTGTAATGAAGCTGATTACTTTCAAATTGAGTTGTTCCATTAGTTCATGAAGTCGTTGACTGTTGATTTTTATTTGTTGAAATGTACAGAGTTTTCTCTTAGGATATAATAATTATTATAACCGATGTTTAGAAATGTTAATTGAAATAGTTTGGAATTGATCACAATCTTTTAGATCGATTCGTTCTTTATATTCCTTAAGATTCTATATTTAGAAACTTTGTATATGTTTAATCCAGAATTATTGGCGTAATAAATTTTTATTCTTCCTCTATTGCGACATATTTGGTTAAGATTAGTCACATTGTTAATATCAAATTAACCATTGTAGTTTTGTACAGAAGTTTTTAAAGGATTATACTAAGGTTTATCAAAGCCTTGACCATACGAAAATTGAATTCTCCCTTTATGTATTCAAAAACTATTTGTTTCTTTTTTTACCATTAATCTACCCTGGTAATATTGATTGATTTTACAACGATGTTTTTCCATAGTGAACTTTATTATTATTATTATTATCTTTGTTTCCGTTTATCTTTTAATTTGTCCAATTGACCTGTTATGATTCATATATAGTTTCGTTACCAAGTGTATTTATAATCAGATTGTTTTAAATGTATTTCACAAGTATATCATATAAGCTTCATTTTCTCGTCGGATTATCCAGATTTTTCATTGAGATCATAAACCGATTGATGTTAGACCACCGTTGGAAACATAAGGTGAGCATATGTTAATTATCATTATAGGGGTTGTGGAGATTATTAAGTTTTTCATTGCGATCACGAGATCCGTGTCGGGCAGAGACAGGTATCTACCTCAGTACAATGGAAGATGATCACGAAATTTCGTGGATTGGTTGATTTTAGACACTAAAACCACTGGATGCTGGTTCACTAGTCCAGTAGGTTAAGGGTTCACGAGCGAGACTGAAGACCCTGGGTTCGGGTCCCGCGGGCGGGATCGTGGATTAGCACTACTGAGGAGTCCCACAATAAAAGAAATGGCCGTCCATTGCTACCAGTTTTCCAACGGTGGTCTAACATCAATCGATTCATGATCTCAATCAAAAACGTAATAAAATCCACAACCCTTATACTGATAATTATCAAGATTTATCAAGGCAACTAATTGTTTGAAGTTTTATTATCACTGTTCTATATTCACTTATTATGAGCAGATGATATTTTCTACAATTCTGCTACTACTCTGACAAAATCTGTAGTCTTTCAAATGCTTTGAGTGATAGTACTATGATACTTAGTATCCATTGATCTTCCTTTAAAATTCATTTTGTTACGTTATCACTGATTTATGTTAATACCCTTTCCTAATATTGTTGAAATGCTTATCACAGTTGATGGATTGATATTTAATGTGATATGTGTAAACAATGATGAAATGTTATGCCAAAATGTATACTACCTAAGTTATTGTTTAAATTCATTTGGTGTTGTCTTACTTGTACAAACATAAGCAAGTGGCTATCAGGACTCAGTAGCTAACTGGAGAACGCGATGGCGTTTGAAGCGAATGGTACTGGGTTCGAGTCTCAGAGTGAATATCAACTCCGGGATGCAGATTCATCCATCTGATGAGTCCCGAATAGGACGAAAAGCGCGTAAAACTGCATTACAGTGCTTGTCACTATTCATATTTCTTTAAGAAGTTAATCATTGTTTTTCTGTTGTTTATTTTTTCTTCAAAAATCTTTAAAGTATACTTAAAGATTTAACTATAGCACATCGTCAACTAACTATAATGATATTTGGTATATTACATCAACTTGTATTCAATATGGCATTTAATACAGCTAATCAAAATCATGGATTAGAAAATGATAATGATGAATTACCTAATATTCCATTACTTAAATTAGCTGAAGGAGTTGTAAAATCAGTTGCTGGTTCAATGTTTCATTCATGTGCATCATCAATATTGTTAATAAATCAAACAACACAAGTAAGTTTTATTTATAAAATAAACATTTTTAATTTATTCAAGTTTTGTTCTAGTTTAATTTGTAAATTTCATGCTAAATTACTAATATAACTAACTATATGAAAACAATTGATGAATCGATTTGGAATCAGATGAAACATATAGGACATTGGTTACTACTTAATTATCAGGGGGGATATTTATCTATTAGTCAGTCAGTTACAACGTAAGATCAGGCACATATATACATCGCTCCAAGTTGGCACACTTCATTAGAACTACAAGATGAACATCGGATTCATAGAAGTAGTTCACTCAATGGTGTAATATATAAAGGAAAGATTTTATGTAAGGATATAGTAAAGAAAGAAAGAATCTATATCTAGTCAGGAACCAGTAGATTTCTTCTAGGTCTATTGCACTGATGATGATGAACTCTAGAAAAGAGATGAAGATTGTGTTCAAATATATTTCATTTATTCATATTAATTCATCTCGTGGAGTATAATATTTATTTAGTGGAAATATGTGAGAAAATGTAACTTTAGTTCAAATTTATACGAATATTCGTCAAGATTAGAATGAATAGTTTGACAGTAATTGAGCGCCGAGTATAGAGAAGTCATTATATGTGAAAATTATATTTGAAATATTCTCAACGATTGAAATTTAACTAATTCCAACGTTTCGTCCAGCTAACCTGTCTGGACTTCTTCAGGGTAGTAATCAAAATCAAAATTATCCAGACAGTCTAGCTGGACGAAACGTTGGAATTAGTTAAATTTCAATCGCTGAGAATATTTCAAATATAATTTTCACATATAATGATTTAGATCAAATTATTTGTAAAATGGATAAGTAAAAACACCAACATATCAGTACTCAAATTAATAGTGCTATCCTTACATGTGATAGCTTTTTATCATCCATTTCGTTGGAATCAAATCATGATTCTATGTTACCTATTATTTTAATGGTAGACTATTAAACTTCCAGCAAACTAATACAACTAGCTTAGCGCAGTACAGACATACAGAATTAATCGGGTAGACTATAATTTATGGATGACTTTTGAACAGCGCAATTGTGACTTTGAGACAGCTCACTTACATACTAAAGTCAGATAGAATTATAAATTAAGATTGGAATTTATAGTTAGAGTTAAGGATTAAGAATTAAATGAACAGTTTTCATCATAAACTGATATCGATACCAAACTGATATTTGATTATATGAATGAATTAATTTCGCATCAAAATTCAAAACTTATCATTCTTAACTTCATTAATACATCATAGCCTCGCTGAATAGTCTGAGAATGCAACGAGCACGACAGATGCGTAGAATTGATTATGTTTTATTAAGTTTATCGGTCTACATAGCTGGTCGTAACCTTATAACATATGCTGCTTCTTGAATCACAACATCAATGCATGTAGTGTGTATCACTGATAGAATCAAGGTTACATTTCTTGCAGTTTAAACCTACCAAGACATTGATCTAGAGATGCGTGGTATAGTCTCTGAAAAATTGTACGAACGGATATGTACATATATATATATATATATATATATATATATATATATATATATATAATATATATATATATATATATATATATATATATATATATATATATATATATATATATATATATATATACCAGATGACGACTTGTGAATTTACGGGCTTTCGAAGTGACCATACACCATCAAAACTTACTTACAGTTTGAATAATGCAGCTTGATTCTTTGACTCAATAGTGCAAGTCCCAGTAACTGATGGATTTTTTTCACACCATACAAACATAGTTTTTTAATCAGTGATCAAGCTAATCAGTTATGGTTAGTATGGGCACTTTAATTCTCACTTATGTTACTGACACAAAGGTTAAATTTACTATTATAAACCATAGAGTTAAGTACTATAGCATCCCAGTAATATGGTACCTTGAGAACGATATAGTTGATTATACTTTTTCCTGCAGTATTTTAGGTGTAATAAGCATGGTAACTAAGCAGTTAGTAAGAAAATCCAAAGATATATAAAGATTTATGATCTCTTATCGAAATAGTGTATCGTATCAATGAATGTAGTTGATATCATGGTATTATTATGATTATTTGTTATTTCAGTTTTTTAAAATAGAAGTGTGGGGGCAGAATATATCCCTGTTCATTGTACCCTTTATTATTTGTTCAGCTTTTCATCTTGTGTATACTTTACCATCGGTAATCTTTTAATCTGGGGTCAAATTTCATTATATATTTATGAACTTTTTTATTTGTAGTCGACGCTTTTTAACTAAACACATAATAAGCTTACAGTCTCATATAAGTCATTCAGGGATTATTATCTTGTCATATCATCTTACAGATGAGTAGGTTTATGGCTTAACCAACGTATTTAAATAGATATTTGATGTATTAATAAAATAGGTATTAGTTTGTAAAAGTTTTTATATGTGACTATAATTTAACTATTTAGAATATAAAATTCACCAATGAAACACATCTCTATGTTACATATTTATAACTTCATAAGATGATCTTGAAGTTATTAACTTCTAGTCTGAGCTATGTTTGTAGATGCAGACTACTTGGTTGGGGTCCACGTGACTATCGTAACCCAAAAAATTGGAGACTCTTGGTGACATGGCTCAGAATCGTTCACAATGGCGTAGGTGTATACACTCTCTGTCTTTCCTTAAACTAAGAGATTACAATCGCTTCATATCTTTCTTTCTACGTACTAATTCTTTCTTCCTCTATTGTATCCTTATATGCAATCTTTCTTTGATATATTATCACCATTGAATTAACTACTTCTATGAATCCGGTCTTCATCTTGTTGTGCTAATGAGCAAGGTGTGGCAACTTGGACTAATATGCATATAACTAGGTATACATTGAATAACTTTTGATTGAAACTGTTATTTAGTTGACGTAGTACTAAACTTTGATAAGTTGTATAAATAGCAAGAACAAAATGAATGTAAATGATCTTTCATGATGAGTGGAGATTTAGAAAATTATTGAGTTTCTTAAATAATTCAAACTTATCTAATTCAGATTATTATTGAAATTCTGAAAGCAGTGAATGAACATTTCGTTCCAGTTTAGGAATCCTCACAATTGCTTATGCATTACTCTCCCATTGAAATCGAACTTACAACCTCCTAAATCCTGAATGAATAGGATATTTAATATCTAAACAAATACGTATGAATTGTTTTTTCTGGTTAGCGTTTTTTTAGCGAGTTAATTTTCTACGGGATTTGATCGCTAATCCCATGTCCAACTCTCCTCCTTTATACGGGTTTGGGACCGGCAGTGGCCTCCAAGGGGCTCCTGGGTTGGAGAATGCTAGTCGGTGACCTATGCTTCTTTGGGAGTAACAGGCGTATGCATATATGTATAAAACACATGTGTAACCATCGGTTTTATTCACTGATCTTTTAATCGAAGTACAGTGTCTCCAGTTTGTATTTATACAGTAATTCACATTCAATTATATAGGTACTTTGTATTTATGTAATAATAATTTCAATGCACAAATTGAAGTCATTCATTTGATTTAAACATATTTGAAAAAAAGCAAAATTGGACTAAACTTAATTAGTGGATTACATTTCCCCAATTTAAGCGATAAAATAAGCCTATATGTATATATATATAATCATATGGATATCAAAGATTGCTTATATAAATTTCAATTTTAAATCAATCAATGTATCTATATGAAATAAAGGTTAGTTGCTATGATCATATATTAAATATTAAGCCCTAGATACTGGCGTCAATTAGTATATTTAAAAAAAAATTATAAACTTTTATATAAATGAATTTCTGTTACTAAGTATATTTAATTTATAAATTATTTTTTTCTTAGAAAGAAATTTTTCAAGAAAAAATATCAGATGGGTTTTGTGGAGATTGTAGTAATTTCAATGGTTAAGATCATGAGTCAATTGAAGCTAGACCACCATGGCTTCACGAGCTATATCATGGAGTTCTAGTGAGGAGTAGTGACAAGTCGAGTTCAACTAGGTCTGTTGTGAGATAGTAACTCACTGAAGACAGTGGTGAATGTGTCGTTCAATTTCGTGGATTATTTGAAGTTAGACATTAACACCGTTGAATGCCGGCTCAGTGGTCTAGTGGTTAAGTGCTCGCGTGCGAAACCAGTAGGTCCTGGGTTCGAATCTCTCAGGGTGCGCGGTCGTGGATGCGCACTGCTGAGGAGTCCCATAATAGGACGAAGTGGCCGTCCAGTGTTTACAGGTTTTCCATGGTGGTCTAACTTCAACTGACTCATGATCTTAACCTTTGAAAGAAAAAATAGTTATATATTAATGATAACTAAATAAAATCCAATAATCAGTAGTATAATTTACTATGTATAAAAATGAAATATAATAGTCAATGTGGTTACTTTCTAATTTGACCTTGAAAAAGTTATTCATCAATTTATTGATTTTATCAATAATCATTTTGATGGATAATATTTCAATAATTCAATAAGATATTAAATTAATATAAGATTGATGAATATGTTGCTATGAGTTCTATCATTTGGGATTATTATTAAATGACATACTAGAAACTTGTTAATAATCATTGATAAATTCGTAGGAGTATTCTTTTGACTTAGCATTTATTTATCTGAATCATATAAATGTGTTCTTACGTGATACTTCAAGGGATTCTACAGTAATTTGGAAGACTCTCCCAGTCCCCCATATCGTGCGATTATTTCATGTACGTAAATAACTGGTTGCTCTGGTTGTCAGAAAGGGCATCAGCCTCGTGACATCCGAAGAAACTCGGCTTTCACATGAGGCGTCATAACTCTTCTAAATGAGGATCTTCTGAGTCCCAGGTCAGAGTTTAAATGGTTAAAATAATTTTTTCTGGTTGGCGTTTTTTGGTGAGTTGGTTCTCTATGTTATGGGGTCGCTAACTCCATGCCTAACCCTAATTCTTTATTCGGGCTTGGGACTGGTAGTCTCCTCTCAATG